GCCTGAAGCATATTTCCATTCCTTATAACTCTTGTAGGTTGATTTTTCAGTTGCAATACTGTGAGTTTCAATTGGAATAATGAAAATAGGTGGCAGGACATAAAATACCTCGAGTGGTTACTCATATTTACTTTAAATTTAAATCTATCACCGACTGACCAAACTTAAGTGTATTGGTTTATATAAATGATGTGTTTAGCGTCTGAGGTACCCAGTTAATCTTTCATTACAAAAAAGGGTAATAATCATACTAAAAGCCTATGCTTATTTTAGATGCGCGAATGGCATACACTAAGCTATGTTTCTCTCTATTATACAGGAGGTTTGCGCCATGAAGTTTAACGTACTTGTTACTACTTATGAGTTTATCATGTTTGACCGCTCAAAGCTGTGTAAAATTGATTGGAAGTATATCATTATCGATGAAGCTCAACGCATGAAAGATAGAGAATCAGTTTTAGCTCGTGATCTCGACAGGTACCGTTGCCAAAGACGATTACTTCTCACTGGGACTCCTTTACAGGTATATGCTTGTTTATTGTTCCTGTAACAGTAAGAGCTGTAAATCAAGTTCTTGTTCCTGCTAGGCATGAATATGCAACTATTGTCTCCTTTGATTGGTCTTTCACTTTTTTGTTTCCTTAACGCAGTGTTCTGAATTTGTCAATTCTTTTCATTTTCATGCTACATTAAAAATGCCTTTTTTCCACCCATCACGGGCTACCTGGAGGGTTGGGAGGTTCCTGGCTTCTACAGCCTTGGGTTCAATCCTAGGCTGGTGATTATCTCGAGTTCATCACTTATAAAGCACTTTCATTTTGTTTCGACATTCATTGTTTTTTGGATGTATTGTATAATTGCTATTAGGATTCCATTGAGAGGTCTATCGCCTGCATTACATTTCTTTGATCCAGAAGATTTCTCTAGATCTGAATTTATGTTTGTGCCGTATGCACATGGCTGATTATAGTTGTCTTATGCAGAATGATTTGAAAGAGCTATGGTCTCTCTTAAATCTACTCCTTCCAGAAGTATTTGATAATAAAAAGGCATTTAATGATTGGTTCTCTAAGCCCTTTCAAAAGGATGCCCCTTCGCATAGCGAAGAGGAGGACGACTGGCTTGAAACTGAAAAAAAGGTGATTATCATCCACAGACTTCATCAAATTCTGGAGCCTTTCATGCTAAGACGTCGCGTTGAAGACGTTGAAGGGTCACTCCCTCCAAAGGTTAGCATCTCCAGAAATTTCTATTACATCACTTCCCTTTTTGGCTAGCATTAATATTTTACGTGATACATGATTCAGGTCTCAATTGTTCTAAGATGTAGAATGTCAGCTATTCAGGGTGCCATTTATGACTGGATCAAATCTACTGGTACCATTAGAGTAGATCCTGAAGATGAGTTGCGCAGGGCACAGAAAAATCCAATGTACCAGGTCAAGACATATAAAAATCTGAATAATAAATGTATGGAGTTGCGCAAGGCCTGTAATCATCCTTTGCTTAATTATCCTTATTTCAATGATTATTCAAAAGAGTTTCTTGTTAGATCTTGTGGGAAGCTCTGGATTCTTGATAGGATTCTCATAAAACTTCAAAGAGCAGGGCATCGTGTTCTCCTTTTTAGTACCATGACAAAGCTTCTTGATATATTAGAGGAATATTTGCAATGGCGTAGGCTGATATATAGACGAATTGATGGAACAACTAGCCTAGAAGATCGTGAATCTGCAATTGTTGATTTCAACAGCCCTGATTCAGACTGTTTTATCTTCTTGCTTAGTATTCGAGCAGCTGGAAGAGGTCTGAATCTCCAGACCGCAGATACAGTTGTCATATATGATCCTGATCCAAACCCACAAAACGAAGAGCAAGCAGTAGCTAGGGCTCATCGCATTGGACAGAAAAGAGAGGTGAAGGTCATATATATGGAAGCAGTCGTTGACAAATTATCTAGTTATCAGAAAGAAGATGGGTTAAGGACTGGAGGTATAGAGGATTTGGAGGATGACTTTGCTGGTAAAGATCGGTATATAGGATCCATTGAGAGCCTCATTCGTAACAATATTCAACAATATAAGATAGATATGGCTGATGAAGTTATAAATGCTGGCCGTTTTGACCAAAGAACAACTCATGAAGAAAGGAGGATGACTTTGGAAACACTCTTACACGATGAAGAGAGATACCAGGAAACTGTACATGATGTACCTTCGTTACAGCAGGTAAATCGTATGATTGCTCGTAATGAAGAAGAGATTGAGCTTTTCGATCAAATGGATGAGGATTTTGATTGGACTGAGGAGATGATAAAACACAATCAAGTTCCAAAGTGGCTCCGTGCTGGATCTAAAGAACTGGATTCTGTCATTGCTAAATTATCTAAAAAGCCATCAAAAAATATACTTGCTAGTAGTGCGGATTTGGAAATGAATGAGCCTAACAAGACTGAAAGAAGGGGGCGAAAGAGTGCACAAAAGAATTCTATCTATAGAGAATTGGATGATGACGATCTTGAAGAATCAGATGCCAGCTCTGAGGGGAGAAATGTATCTTCTTTGCAGGAGGAAGATGGAGAGATGGGTGAATCAGAAGATGAAGACAATGATGCTGTCGACATGCAACCTACTAACAAAGATCAAGTGCAAGAAGGTCTTGCTTATGATGGTGATGCCTATGAGTTATCTCCTGCAATGGAAGGCAACATAAACACTCGTAGATTTGAGGAAGCTGCTTCTTCAGGGTCTTCTTCTGGAACTAGAAGATTGAATCAGTCTGCAACCCCTTCTTCCCTGTCATCGCAGAAGTTTGGATCTCTTTCTGCATTAGATGCCAAGCCAAACCGTCGCTCAAAAAGAACGGTTTGTGTGACTCATCCTCTTTGTTATCATATTGTTTATTGCATTTTCTTTGCTTTATGTATATTCTAAGCTCCAACTGTTTATTTATTTTCCATTCTGGCATTTTTCAGACGGATGAACTAGAAGAAGGTGAAATTGCTATGTCTGGTGATTCTTATCTGGATCATCAACAATCAGGAAGTTGGAATCATGATCGTGATGATGCGGAGGATGAACAAGTTCTTCAACCAAAAATTAAGCGTAAAAGAAGCATGAGAATTCGCCCAAAACATGTTGCAGAAAGGTTCGAAGACAAATCCAGCAATGAGAGATCATTGCAGTGTAGGTCCCAAATTCCCACTCAGGTAGACCAGGATTATGATATGCTAGAACTTGATGTATTTAGTGAGCCTGGTTCGGAAAGACGTAATTTGCCTCCAAGAATAAGTTCGCAAATGAATATGCAAAAGTCCAGCAGGTTAGGTTACTTATCTGGAGAAGATGCCATGGATCATTCTAGGGAAAGTTGGAATAGTAAGGCCATCAATACTGGTGGAAGTAGTGCAACAGGCACAAAAATGTCAGACAGTATGCATAGGAAGGTATGTCCTCAATGTACATGTACTAACTGTCATTCTACCAGTATGTTAATTTTATTTAGGAGCAGACTTCAATCATATAATGCTACCTACATCTATCAGTTCTGTCGTGTCTAGAATATTAATCGTTTTACACACCATATTTGATTAATTATTTCCAGCCACCAGAATATATCTCTTTATGTCTGTTTCTCTATCATTTTCATATAATTTTGACATTCTGCATTAACAATACACTGCCCAAATTGTGCACACTTTGAAAGTTGAAGCTCTGCTTTCATTAAGATACCTTGAAAGGGGGAGAAAAAAGAGAAAGAAAAAAAAAGATTACTGTGGCCGTCGAAATCTGTGAAGTTGCTTCCATAAATGGGAAGCACTTCCACACTTTCCAACTTTTTAGTACATTTCTACTTAAAGCGAAGTACATTGTGCAAATCATATTATTGTTACTTCAAGTGCTTTATTGTTTAGAAGTGTGAAATATATTACATATTCTAACTCATAGCCGTTTCCTTGTATCCACATTTGGAAGAATGGCCATTTTGATACTGCAAGGTCCCATGTCCACAAATCATGGGATCTTTTTGTGAAATTGCCATGTTGATACTGCAAGAATGCCTGTAGTGTAAAACAGATCTCTGAAACCCTCAGAACACCATAGTGATAAAGTTGAATTTTGTACGAGGAAACATCATTTTGGATGGTTAAAGTTCCTGGGGCGAGATACCTCTAAGTTCCTGGGGCGAGTTACCTCTAATTTTTCCATGAATTTCTAATGAGCTAATTGTTCTTTCTCTACAACTAGGGTGACTATACACTTGCAAGGGGTAGCCAAAATAAACCTTGGCCATCTAATGGGGACTCCTATACTCTAAATGCACTGCCTGTACATTTCACATAGCAGTCCAATCCCTCAAGGTGGCTGTGACTGAGAGCTTTTGTGACCATTGTTTTAAGTATCTCAAATATATCCAATTTATCTTTTTAAAAGCCTTGCCGCAAAATGATATTGTCTTAATATCCTTTACTGCTTTTGGCAATTTCTGGGCAATACATCTCCAACATGGCCAATATATCAGGATATATCAGCTGATATGTTGACTGATATATCCGCAGCATGATAGACAGTTTTTTTCTGGCTCATACTGCAAGCTTTGTTTGTTAAAATAAATTAGTTCTACAAAATTTCTTTAATACGTTTAGCAAAAATTTCCAGCCCTATGAAGTTTTTTTTATCAAAACTCTAATCGGTTCTTTTCCTGATTATGTTTCTATGACTGGTTATTGATTCTAAATATATATTATTAACATTTCATATGCTTAGATTTCATTAAGTATGTAACTGTATGTTTAGATTACATTTTCGGACATTATATTATATATGCATATGCACATCATCGAATATGACACTCCAATGTTTACTACATATCCTTGATATTTCCCCGATATCCGCAATATGATATGGATTTTGACTGTGCGATATCTTCCGATATCTGATATTTGAAACCTTATTTGTAACAAACTGTTAGTCAGAGCCATAAATATTGGCAGAGGAAGATCTTGAATATTCTTCTTTTAGTTGATAATTTAGCCACTTATTTTTGAGAACTAAAAAAAAAAAATCATTGAGAACTAACGATGACATGCATTTTTGATCTTTTGGATATTGACATTGTTGTACAGTTGGTGTCATTTTTATAGTTAGCAAGATGTTTTAACCTTTTATGCAATCAGCTTTTTGCCTTGAGTATTACCACTTTTTCTTTTTTCAGTGCAAGAATGTTATAAGCAAACTTCAGAGAAGAATTAGCAAAGATGGATATCAAATTGTACCTGTCCTGTATGACTTGTGGAAGAAAAATGAGAGCTCTAGTTTGGCCAGCCCTTCTGTGACAATGATTAACCCATTAGATCTGCGGAGAATAGATCGGCGTGTGGATAACTTAGAGTATTCTGGTGTGACAGACTTCATAGCTGACATTCAGTTAATGTTGAAAAATGTGGCTCAGTACTGCAAGTACTCGTACGAGGTATGCCAGTTTCTCACTTACCTTATAACTTGCTGGATGAGTCTAATTGATATTTTAAAAAAGTTTTAAGACCTCCACAAGTCTACTGCATGCTTGCTCGACTTTTTCATTGGTTATTTATTTATTTATTTATTTTTGAAATGAATATTCCTATATTTCCTTGTTGTCATTAAATGGTTGATGCAATCTTCACAACGGGAAGAATTCCTATAAATTGATAGGGAAAAAGATTGATATTAGACTATGACTTTATTTCTTTCCAATTAAGTAGTAATTTATTAATGGCTTAACAAAAATTGTGAGCAACATATTTATCCATTTTCCTTTCTATCATGCTGATGGGAAAAAAAGAACCAACAAGAGAGTACAAAGCAACTAGCGAGGCGATGCTAACAACTTTCTGCTGAGATAATGTTTCACTTTGACAATATTGATGGGAAGTACCCAGCTGCTTCATTCTATATGCTGTCCTCCATGTTCACTAGTTAAACAGCATTCAGCTTTTTAGGCTGTGGTCAATCCTTTGAATAGATTTTTTTTTCCACAATGAAACCTTGACAAAATACTAATTTTGTAAACCTGGAGACTTTATTACTGTGTTTTAAGCTGTGTGGAGGTTCAAGGGATAGAGTTGCTAACCCCTGAATCTTCCTCCAGGTGAAATACGAAGCAAGAAAGTTTCATGATCTCTTCTTTGATATTATGAAGATAGCATTCCCAGATACAGATTTCAGAGAGGCAAGGAATGCCCTCACTTTCCCCAGCCATGGAGGAGGAGCTGCTGCTGCTCCTGCTCCACCCCAAAAGCCAAGCCCAGTCACTGCAAAGTCTAGTGCACGTGCATCCGTGTCTCCCGATGAAGAAGGGAGAATGACCCGAGCTAATGCCTCCAAACTCAACAGGGTATCACGACCGGACACTGGGCCCTCTGTCCGAGACCAGGCCCAGCCCATCCCATCCCTGGCCCATCCTGGCGATCTGGTCATCTGCAAGAAGAAGAGGCAAGACCGGAGGGTGGGACCCGTGTCACCAACTGGCCAGGGTCGGGCAGCAGCGGGGCCCTTGTCTCCGCCCAGTGCAGGCTGGTTGGGCCCACATCCCCACGAGCCGAGCTGGTTCATAGCTACAGGGATATCCAACCTCAGCAAGTCGACGAGGTGGGCCCAGCAGCCAAAGCAGCAGCACAGCAGTAGTGGGCCCTCTGCAGGCGTGGAGGAAGAGGCCCAATGGGCCAAGCCTGTAAAGAGAATGAGGACAGACGCTGGCAAAAGGAGGCCCAGTCATCTATGATATGCAGAATTCATATGATGTTTGCGAGTATGTACATATATTAAAATGTGACAAAAGAGTATATAATCATAGCATGATTTTGCAAGGGGATGCAATTTAGTTGTCAGAGGTTGGTCGGAATCAAAGCTCATGTGTGCACGCACTCCCTATTTTGCTCTGTTCTCTTACTGGAGTATTGTTAGCTGCTGTAATGATGATATTATATATGAATCCAATTAAAGATGCAAAAAAGAGGAACTTTCGAGTTCATTGCATCAGTTCGCAATATGCTTATGTTCAGTTTTCTATGTCACAACTCATGATTGTAGCTGTAAGCTCATGTTCAGTTTTCTCTGTTACAGCTCATGATTGAAGCTGTATTATACTGTAAACATGTTTTTAAATGTCCAAAATCAGAGATCAATGATGAATCCATGTGTTATCATCATTGTTAGAATGATTTATCTCTTTAAGTGTGTGTGCATGCGTTAGGGGCAACATGATCATTTGATTCAATGATGTTACTTGGTATGACTGAACTACTTATGGAGCTTAGAAATATCTGTTAATTATATCAATATATTACATAGCCTGTTATATGTGCTTGAGGGAACAATGCATTTGATTCCTTTCTCAATGTTTCCTCGTCTGCAAGCAGTCCAGGGTTTGGGCAAATTCATTAATGATTGAGAGGAGGCTCTTTAAAGAAACAAATAAAGTGCATATGGGTGGTCCTGCTTATTTGATTCTTGGTCATTTGAATTTTGAATCAGAGCAAGCTCGAGTATCTTAAAACTGAATTCTTGACTTAATTTGGAACACAAATAATAGTAGTAGTAGCAATAATAATAATAAACAATGATAAAAGAAATCTTGTGTAATGTAGGGATAGTAATGGATCTATGATTAAATACAATGTACTCGGAGTGATCAAGTCCATGTGGAGAGAAACGCCATTATCATTGATTAACGTGAGCTGGTTTTCATGTGTGAATCCTAGAGACATTTTTCTCAACATAATCCTAGAAAAAGGAAGCAAGTTAAATAATTGGAGCTTCACATGTCCAAGCTTAGCAATGGAAGCCAACAGATATGCTTCCAGAAATTCCAAAATAAATTACTTTGATTAAATTGAGTGTTATTAGTAATACCATAATTTGATTTCTATTTCAACCAAGTTAAAATGATAAGTTGTAAATTCCAGAAAGAATTTAAAAAAAAAAGTAATACTAGCATTATTTTGTTGACATAAGCAGAACAACAAGAAAACAATAGATGTGAAGGTTTTTGTTCAATAAATACTGAGTTATACTAGCATTATTTTGTCCCATAAGTATTGAGTTCAACTAGTATATATATAATATATATATTATTTTATATATATATAATATATATATATATTATATATATATATATATATATATATATATATATATATATATATATATATATATATAATATATATATATATATATAATATATATATATATATATCATACTCCTTTAAAAGCATGAGTTTCGAGAAAATCTTATTCTATGGTTAAATTTCTTACTTATTTTAAATATTTTATTTATATCTTAATCTATCCTAATCATAATTATATCTATCCTAATCTTATGTGAACTATTTATAGCTTAACAATTAAAAAAATATTAATAATATATATAAAATATATTGTATTAGTTTGTTAAGATAAAGAAATTATACGTAGCTAACGTACTATAATACATAAAGTATTATAAAAAACCTAAAAAAGTTTTAAAATTGCACAAAATACCCTGAAAAGTTTAAAATTATAAAAACTATATTGACGTCTAAAAACTAAAAACAACAAATATGAAATCAAGAAATTAACAGTAGTTTGTGAAGAATTTAAAATTTGTGGTTAACATATCAATATCTTAAAAATTATAGAAACACCCTTAAAAGTTCAAACTACAAACAAGCACGTGAAATTCTAAATTTTTAAAAATTGCAAACAAAAAAGAAGAATTCAAGGGATTACCACAACACACCTGAAAATTTCTGACATTTCAAACCTTAAAACAACAAATATGAAATCAAGAAATTAATAGCAGCCTCCTAAGAGTTTAAAATTTTTAATTAACACCCTCAATATCCTAAAAATTAAAAAAAACACACTCAAAAGTATAAATTATAAAAAACAACCTTAAAATTTTTAAATTTACAAATAATAAAAGATGAATTAAAGAGATTACCCCCATGCACCTAAAAATTTAAAATTTATCAAAATTAACCTCAAAGTTACAAAAGTTGTAGAAAAACTCTTTTAAAATTTAAAAATCATAAAAAAAAACTCTAAATTTTTAAAATTTATAACCAATACATATCAAATCTAAAATTATTGATAGACTGCTGAATTTTAAATTTAAAAAAAATTAATATACAGTTTTAACGATTACAAAAAGAAGCCTCAAAATTTTAGAGTTGTAAGAAATATCGTGATATTTAAAAATTACCACCGACACATGAAACATAGAAGTTACGACTACCAAACTTAAAAGTAGTTTTTTAAAAATGCTCCTAAAGTTTTAAAAATTATAAATCACACCCTCAAAGTTTAAAACCATAAAAAGGCTAAAATTTTTAAACTTGACAAANTTTTTAGTATCTAAAGATAGTCTAATTTAATACTGATAAACAAAAACAATAAGAATTGATTAAAACTATCAGATTAGGGAATAAAAAAATTAAAAACTATTATAGCTTAAAATTATCATTACCATGTAAATTAAAGTAACTGCATAAAATTTTACTAATAAGTAGGAGCAACAAAACACATTAGTAACATTAATTGATAAAAGTTTAAATCCATAAAAATAATAAAAGACTATAATATAATAGCTTAGCATTAATTGATTATAATTTAGAAACATTAATATCTTATGTTAATAATATTTATAGAGTAAATGAATATAATAAATTATGTTATTTATAGAGTAAATGAATATAATAAATTATGTTATTTATAGAGTAAATGAATATAATAAATTATGTATGGAGATACTATTAGAATGTTCAAAGATTTCATTCAAAAGAATCAAGCTATTCCCATTGCAAATGGGAAAATAATAAAAATAAATCTAAAATTCAGAAAACGCCCATGAATCATTTGAATTTCCATTAACATAAGACATGTCTATTAAAGAAGCATCAACTGAGTTACATTAAAGAATAATTTAATAACTTTATCCTAATCAAAGAAAAATTTTCTGTAGAAGATATAAGAAAAATTAGTAAGCATTCATAAATTTCATACTTTGCTCTTCAAATACTAAAGAAATTAAATATTAATATTATAATCTATGGTAAATTAGCAATAAAAATATAGGTATTTAGTTTAGATCTTTGTAAAAAATGACAGAAATAGAGCAAATGTAATATTATTAACGTAACAGAAACTCTTATTGGATGCACATCGGAAAAATTCATTCATTGTAGAAAAAAAAAGGTAGCTCCTAATCTTATTTAAGTAATAAATTAGAAACACAAAGAATTTCATATATATGAGATTAATATTTATTCTCATTGAAATAAAAAAAATCAAAGTCTTTTTAAGAAGTTTGTGTTGAACATCGGAAATACATTTAACTTCTTTGTGAAGTTAAATAACAAAATAAAAGATTAACGAGCCCAAGAAAGATAACAACACAAAAAAAATACAACTCTAGTATGATGTCACAATCGAGTAGATGATGAAGACACTACTCTAGAATTGTCCGTGAAAAAGATAAATGTGAGAAAGGATTGATTTTAGCTCAATAAAAAAATAAAACAGAAAGAATAAAAAATAATATTTTTTGAATATTTTATAGAATAGTTTAATTATTTTGAGAGAATTTAGGAATCTTTAGAAGGGAGTTTTATGAGCTTATTTTAGTATTTTTATATGCTTGTGCAGATGTTTTTATCATATGAAAGTATATTAGAGTTAGCATTAATCTTTAATTTATAATTTCTTATGAAGTCTATCAATGATTAGGAACAAACTTCATATCTTTAATTTATAATTTCTTATGAAGTCTATCAATGATTAGGAACAAACTTCATATTCTCTTTTGTATCATTTTAGTATACTTTTAACCAATCATTTTGACTTATTGGTTTTAAATATTCATCTTTCTTGTATAATATTATTTTAATATTTTTTACTTTTGCAACACTGTACTTTCACAAGCAAAGCTTGGTATCATGTTAGTAAAAATAATATAAAAATTTAAATTAACTTCAAATTATATTTTTATTTTCTATCAATTCAAATATCAACATGAAAATTTAAATTGGGTGTAACCCATTTAAACAAACATCAAAGAAAATAAATAATCACAATATTAAAGTTTAGAGATAAAAGTGATCATAAGCTATTAAAGTGGAACTGATGAACAAATTTTAGTTAGAAAATAATCTAAAAATACTTAATCATGGTATTTAACTACGTGCATTACACGTGTATAAAACCTAGTGTGTGTGTGTGTGTGTGTATATATATATATAATAATATATATATATATACTATAATATATATATATATATATATATATATATATATATATATACTATATATATATATATATATATATCTTATGGATGTAGAGAAGAGCTAGCAGCTCTTCTCCCCCGTGAGCTGCCAGGTATATGAAATGTGAGCCCCACACCAATGTGACTAGTAGGGGCACATGTCATGGACCTGTCAGCTCATGGAGGAGAAAAACTGCCAGCTCTTCTCCATATATATATATATATAAATATATAATATATATATATATATAATAAATATATATATATATATATATATATATATATATATATATATATATATTATATATAATATATAATATTATATATATATATATATATATATATATATGAAATGTGAGCCCCCACACCAATGTGACTAGTAGGCCACATGTCATGGCACTGTCAGCTCATGGGGGAGAGAAAAACTGCGCAGTCTCTCTCATATATATATATAAATATATATAATATATATATATATATATTATTATATATATATTATTATATATATATATATATAGATATATATATTTATACTTTATAAGTAATATAAAGTTAAACAGTTATATACTTATAAGTGTATACTTAAATATAGACATATATACCATATACATATATAAGTATTATAATGCTTTAATTATTGAATAATAATCTCCATTCATTAGCAGACAAATGTCCCATATTAACTGCCTAATTAAATCAGTTCACCACTTCGAAATAACCAAAAAATCCCTAAGCCCGGACGACTCGAAGGGACGACATCTCGCATAGCTGGCTCAAAAGGTAGTATGCATCGACCTTCTCGCTAGATCAACTCCACAAACGACCTACATGACCACCTATCGGCTGATATCTCATGAAGCCAACTTGAAAAACGGTACTTCTCGGCCCTCTACCCGACGAGTAGAAAGGCGACGACA